TCATCAGTGGACAATAGCAGGCCCAAGGAGAAACAATCCAGATGTGAAGGGTCTCCTGATAGAATAGACTGATGAGATATTGCTGCCAAAAAATAGAATTTTAATCAAATGAAGTTTTCATATCTAGTTACCATTTTGTTGGAAATACAAGGGTCAGAGGATCATGTTATCACCACAGGAATGCAATCAGAAAAATCCAGAACCTGGAAAACTAGACAGAATAAATGCTCAGACTTCTTCAAAAAATGGCGAGGAAAAATAAAAGAGGGAAGACTTCTAAATTAAGAGAATTAAGATAATCAACTAGATGTGTGAGAATTTTTTGGACCCTGATTCAAACAAACCAACTGAAAACAAACAAACAAGAGGAACAACAAAAACTTTATGAGTCAATCAGGGAAACAAGCCTGGATATTTCATATTATGAAGAGATTACTGTTGATTCTATAGGTGTGATATATATTCCTTATCTTTTAGGGCTATGTATGGAAATAATTGTAGATTAGATGATGGGATTTCTGGGATTTGTGGTAGAGAGGATGGGTAGGGATTTACAGGATGAAACAGGAGCAGCGTGAATTGATTTTTGGTGTAGCTGGAAGACAGATACCTGGGGGTTCACTGCTCTCTACTTTCTTGTATGTTTGCAATTGTCCGTAATTATTTTTGAGTTAATTTAAAAAATCTTTCAAACAACAAGGTCCTGTATAGCACAGGGAACTACATCCAATCTCCTGGGACAAACCATAATGGAAAAAACTATTAAAAAAGAATGTATATATGTGTATAGCTGAGTCAATTTGCTGTGCAGCAGAAATTAGCACAACACTGTAAATCAACTATAGTTCTATAAAAATTAAATAAAAAATTTAAAATCCTACAGAAAAAAATCTTTCATTTGCAACGCACTTGTGTTTATCACTACATATCATGTTATAAAATTAGTAATTAATTATGCCTACTAATACTCGGAGCTACTCAATGGTTTGCAAAGCAGTTAAGTTCATTCTCTCCTCCCTTGCCCCGGATGATATTCAGCGAGGCAGGCGTCGTTCGAATCCTCACTCCACAGATGAGCCAAGGCAGCTAGTTAGCAGTGGCCCAGGCCTAGACTTTAAAGTCCTCCAACCCCAAATTCCGGGCTCCTCCCCCCAAACCAAGGGGAAGTGGGATGCGGGATGCAGAAGCGGCAGCGCCTGTAACGAGGCCCTGCTCGGCTGGGAGAGCTTTACTTGCCGCGGCCGCCAGATGGCGAAGGCTGCCCACCGCCCGGACCCCTCAGGCTCCTCGAAACCGCTGCAGGAGCCACCGCCAAGAGGGTGGCGCCAACAGTGCGAGGAAATCTGCTTCAGCCTGGGGTTACAGAAGTTCCTGTGCGCGCCCTGCTGCCTTCGCGAGAACTTCTAGAAGGACGCTAAGGACTTTTTAGGGAGACGGGAAAAATTTAAATAGCCGGGGGTGGGGGTGGATGTTCACATTCTGCTGCCCCAAATAAGCAGAGATCCGGCGCTTCGGGGTCGGCCAGAATTCCATCAGAAATCGCGCACTTTGGAGACCAGCTCCGAGGGCCTGCTCCGTGTCTGGCGCAGCAATATCCTTCCCTCGGTGACTCGATGCGTCCTCGGCAACACGCAAAGGACTCCTAGGGCCGAAGGAGAAAGGGGGAGAGGGTGGAGGGGTCTCCAGAAGTTTACTTCTTTTAAGCTGTAATAAGGAGAAATTCAGTGACCACCAAGGTTAGAGTCCCCATCATGTTAAAAAAAAAAAAATGTCGTAGCTTCAGGCTGCCCACCAACCGCTCAGCTCACGGGCGGGGAAGGAAATCTAGCTCCTGCGGGTTCGGGCTGGCGGAACCCATGAGAGCGCCAAGTGCAGGCGCTGCGCCCAGGCGTCCGCGAAGCGCAGGAGGGACTCCGACCCCGACGAAGACCGGCGCAGATGGACGGATTCCGCGGGTTCGAGTATCCCGGGGGCTAGACCGGCGGAATTCGTGCACTCGAAAGCTTAAACCCGAGGGATGGGGAATTCACATAAGGGGACTCGATCAGGCCCACCAACAGAGTTTTGCAAATCGCCTTTTAAAAGTGCCTCCCGATGATGCCGAAATCTCCGCGCGGTGAAAAGCCAAACTGTAGGAGCCGGCTGGCAGCTGGGCGGGGGGGTCATCGTGGCGCGAGCGGGGAAGGGGAAGCGTCCAGGCCAGTGGAAAATGAGTGATTTTAATTTTTGTCCCCACTGGAGGCTCAATTTTGATTAGGGGCAGGAGGGAATTTTTTATTTCGGAGCGTTTCCATAATACCTGCAGAATTAAAAACAACAAGAACAAAAGAATAAACAAACAAACAAACAAAAAGGGCATCGTACCCCCCCCCCCTTTGCCTCCCGATGATGCCGAAATCTCCGCGCGGTGAAAAGCCAAACTGTAGGAGCCGGCTGGCAGCTGGGCGGGGGGGTCATCGTGGCGCGAGCGGGGAAGGGGAAGCGTCCAGGCCAGTGGAAAATGAGTGATTTTAATTTTTGTCCCCACTGGAGGCTCAATTTTGATTAGGGGCAGGAGGGAATTTTTTATTTCGGAGCGTTTCCATAATACCTGCAGAATTAAAAACAACAAGAACAAAAGAATAAACAAACAAACAAACAAAAAGGGCCTCGTACCCCCCCCCCCTTTGTTTGGTTCAGAAAGAAGGAAGAGCCTGCAGAGGAAAGGGAGGATCGTGAGTCTGCCTTTACCCCCAGGTTGAAAGTTAATCAGAGGCGGCTGGAAAGGAAGGAGCCTGGACCAAAAGCTGATCTGGAGCCTTGAAACTCCCCTTTGAGGAGTGGGGATGTGCGTTGTCGCAGACTCCGAGCGGGCTCCAAGCCCCGGCCCAGGTTTACAGACTGAGAGTTTGGCTGCACCTTCCCCTCTTCCCCTATTTCTTTCCAGATTCTTCTTGCCTTTCCCAGTGGGTGGCTCCCCACCCCACCCCCCAGGATAGCTACCCCACACCCCAGCGCTTCTGGGCTTCAGCACCCTGGAGGAGGAATCCCGGGGCAGCGAGGAGCGAACTCGTGCCGAGGCCGAGTGGGGAGCGGGGAAGGTCCCGCTCCGAGTTCTCCCCAAAGTGGGGCTACGAGTGGAAGGCTTTTTTGTTTGCCGTCCTTTTAAAAACTCGGACAACCAAAAAGTGTTTGGCGATGTAAAGGACACGCGTGGAAACAATAGTATTTCCAAGTCAGAATGGTGTCCTTCTTGCACTTCTTTTTCCTCTTTCGTTGCAATTTGTCTAATTGCATATATCTGTTTGGGGCTAGAACGGAGGCGAACCAGCGACCCCCCCCCAAGCCGGTGCTCCCCCACCCAGACAGCCCCCGCCCTCGCGCCCCAGCGCAGGGAACGCCGCCTGCGAGGGCGCAAACGCTGGGACTCCGGCGGAGAATGTAAACAAACGGGGCGCCGAGTCCTTGATCTTTATTTAAATAGAGGCTTGTTTATCGGTGTCATCCTAGGAGGATTAATTAGATACATCTCTTCACAATTTGGTGTCTGACACTCCATCTTAGGAATGCCTTATCACAAGGTGTTAATTGGGGCCACTCAGCCACTTACGTTTCTATTAAACACTGTGAGGGACTTTTCACAAGTACCAAGTTCTTTTTACTGCACGGTGCAAAAATATACAGGACTGGAAATAGACTGGGGCCAGTGTCTGCTTTATCCCGGAGGTGATTAGCATTTGCAGTCTTTCTAGAGGGCAGAAGAGAACACCGTTTCGAAATTCCATCGCATCTCCCAATACGCTCGGGTTCCTTGGGGTTGGGGCGGGGGGCGCGCAGACCGGGTTAGGGGGGTCCTAGTCCTCCTCCCCCAGTCTGAGTCTGTCATCCACAATAAACACACATTAACCAAATTTCAAGGCTTTCGCTTCCAGCTCCAGTAAAATTTGGGACGGTTTGGGCAAAGCGTTTCCGACAGGCATCGTCGGAGACGCGGGGCTAGAGTCCGAGACCCCAAGGTCACAGGCGGCGCGAGAAGGACTCGTAACCGGGAAGGGCGGTGGGAACTGGAAACCGCGGAGAAGCGAGGTGCGAGCTCGCGGCGGCCTTAATTGGGCGCAGAAGGGGAGGAGGGCCGGGCCGATCGCTCGCCTCCCAGAACTAATCCTCTTAGCAGCTGCATTTCCGCGCCACGCAGTTAGCAGAATGACACTCCCGGCCAGACCTTTACCCCGGGAGCGTCGGGAGGGGGCTGGAAAGGATTGCAAGCCGGGCCAGAAGCCGTCTGCAGATAAGCGCGGCGGGATGTCTGGCAGGGGGACAAAGGGCCCTTCGCCGCACTCCTTGGTTTAACTCTTCCGAGGGCCCAGGCCCCTCCCCCGGATTGGGAGCCGAAAAAGCGGAGCTAAAAGCTAGGCAACCGGTTCCCCGGCCGCTGCTCGCAGAGCTGCGTTGCGCTCCCGCCGCATCCCCAGCGGCCCGGACCGCAGCTGCCCCCGCGGCGGCGCCCGGGACTGCGGGAAGAAGGAAGCCGCAGGTGGCAGCGGGGGTGGGGGCGGCCCGCTCCCGCTTGGCCTCAGGGATCCGGAACTCGTGGGCACCCAGAGGGCCGCGAGGGTGCCCGGGGAGCCCATGTGGATCAGGGGATGGGAGACCCCAAGGAGGTCTAGGAGAGGCCCGGACGCCAAGGGCTGGGGGTGGAGGTTTCCTAGGCCCATATCAAGCCCGCTGTGGGCAATCTTGCATCTCGGCAGCAACCCTCCTCCCCCTCCCCAGCTCCAATCCCCATTGTCCAGACTTCCCAGTGCGGTGAGGAAATAACCCCATTCATCTACAAGGAAAAAAGATAAACAAGAGCATCCCCACCCCCTCAACGAAGACACTGTCCACTTAGAGATTCTAGTGGTGGTGGGGGAGTGGGTTGGTGGGACAGGGTTCCTGCTGGAGGAGGGTGGAGGAGGAAGCAAACTAAGATTTTTGAAACAAAGATGAAAACCCATAGTACAGAAGACAGGGCTATGCCTGTTCCCTTAATGAACTACATTTATTAAAAATGACTACGACTGTACATAAAAATCCAAGGTCTCTAGAAAGCCTATAGGAGCTGGGGCGTCAGGTTTCTGTTTCCTCATATTACCAAGTTGGGAAGTGGGGGTGGTGGAGGAAGAGGATGACATGGGGGTTTTCCTTAGCATGTTTCAAGTTAGTACAGTAGCTGAATACATTCTTAACTAAGAAGTAAACAGAATATTCCCGTATGTTGTGGGGATGACGAAACTTCCCCTGCTCCTGCAGCTGTGGTTCGGTGAATTGCAAATTCTTTACAAAGCCAAAGCACCAATTTTACATAATCTCGTATACCTACGTAGACTATTTGTACAGTATTTTCCACATTATTCTACAGTGTATCTAAGCACACAACTGTACCCTTTAAAATTCTCCGTTTTTGTTTGTTTGTTTTCTGGTGCCCCCCTCCCTTGCTGTCTCCTAAGTCCTAAAAGCCACCCAGGCAGACAGCAGAGGCCTAGTACATGAGGCGATCCTGGACTAGCGCAAACATGGCTTGTTTCAAAAGCCTGGGAAGAATCAAAGTCAGGTCAAACCAGCACCTTCACAAAGTTCTTGCCTCCCAGGCCTAACATCTTTTGTCCCTAGCAGAAAGTTAACAGCAAAAGTCCCTTGTTGAAGGTTAAGGCCCACCCTTCTATTCCAGAAGCAAAACATCTTACCACTCTGGGCTTCTATTTGCTTACAGATTTACAAATAAAAATGAGAACCAAAGGTTTCAACACCTTTGATGGCGCTAGGCACTCAATTTTCACAGCCCAGCTCTTTGAATGTCTAGTGTCTCCAATAAATAAATCCATAACTTTGAATCACCTTCAAATTTAAAAACACATGAAAGTCCTCCATTAATTTTATTAAAAAAGAAAAAAATGCTAGGCTTGTTTCAGTTACCTGAAGCAATCAAAAAGCTTTGGCACCTTCTTTTAGAGAATTGCACAAAACGGGATGCATCAGGGTGGAAGGCAAACGTCTTTTTGGCAACCTAGACAAAGAAGACAACAAAAAACACCACCAAGTCCATCGGCAAAAAGTTAGCTCATTTTGACGAGGCTAAAATAACTCTTTAGGGAGTCGTGTAAAAAGCATAATACCCCCCCATGCCTTTTGAGGTGTCTTTACTGTACTCTTCAGCATTGATGTCCTCGCACTTTATGGAGGGAGAATTTTCATTGCTAGAGGAGCTAGGAGACAGCCGCCTTCGCTTACAAGCACTGGTGTACACCCCTGAATCACTGGAGTCAAGAGACTTGATGGACGGGGGTGTCTCTATCCAAGAAGAGCTAATTTCTTCTTTGACTTTCTCCTTGGAGAGCTGATCTTCAGAGAACACAGGGGGGCTTGTTCTGGAGGTCCATGGGAGTCCAGCTGCCATCTTCCTTTGATAAGAACCTCTACTTCCCCACCCTGCCATTGCAGGGAAGGTGGGGTCGGGGTAATACCCCAGGGCATGGGATGTCTGGAGGGGCAAGGATTTAATACCATATGGGAGCAAGGTGCTGGAAGTATATTCAGACTCATAGGAACCGATGTCTAGTTTGTTGGTCCCAGGTTGCTGGACGGGTGTGACAAGCCATCGCTGGGGAGGGTTGGCCACCTCTTCGCTCTGTTGGGGTGAAAGGAGGCCGTTGGTCTGTGGCACGGTTCTCTCGCCATTATAATATCGGGCTTGAGGTAAAGTGTTGACAAAGGGCTCCGGGAAGAAGGACTGAATGCCGTACCGACCTCCAGGGACAATCTGATGGGATCTAGGAGAATCCGTGGGAGATGGAGTTAACCTGTCATTTTCGGAAGCGGTGTACATGCTACAATATAAAGAGAAACACTTAAAAAAAAACCCCAATGTTGTCCCCAAACAATATACCTCCCAGAAATGAAGAAGGCTCTAGAGCAGGAGCGCTGGTCTGTCGAGTGGAGGGGTGGAGGTAGTAGGGATGCACTGGCCCATTTTAGCTGGACTTCGCTCATTGCGGCCAAATTTCCCACCATGAAAGAAAAAGCTTCCTCCCAGGCATTAAGCATTTAAACTGTAGAAAATCCATCTTTGCAAGTCCTAGAACTTGGAAGAACTTGGAGCAACTCTCCCTTCAGTGGTAGGGAAGGAATGCTGGCCATGGTGGGTAGAAATCCCAGATTTAAAAGGCATCTGTGGGGCCTTGCTGTTTGATGTTGTGAAAATGACATCCTCTTAGTGTCAGGTTTTTCTTATGTAAAAAAATGAGAGGGAATAATAATCCCTGCTCCTGAGAGAATAAAAAAACTGGGATCAAATGGAAAGGAAGGCATATAAATGCAGATTATGAAAATTTCCAATCTCCACTCAAATGTTAAAAAAAAACTCCTCATTTTTAATCCCTTAACATTTCTTTAGAAATGAACAAAACACTTCTGTGAAAATTCTAAAGCAAGATTAGTCAAGGCCAAAAATATGCAAAAATAAAAATAGGCAAAAATCCCAACCGTGAAAGCTCTTCCTAGAATATGGTCTCAAGAAAGTGACTGATTCCATATGTCTTGTTCAAAGATGACCAGGCAAGGAAAAATAAAGGTGCACTTACGAGTCATAGTTGTCCCTGAAGCCTTTTGCAAAGGGGTTGTGATCAATCTTTAGTTGAGTTATCTAGACAAGGGAGAAAAAAACATTCATTGAGTGTTTTTTCTCTCACGCTGGACTGAGCTTCAGGGATTCTTGGGGACCGTGGGGCACTCACATCGGTGTTTTGGTAGGCAGTCACTGCAATGAACTGCGTTTCTGAGAAGATGAAGGTCTGAGTCTTGGAGGGCTCGTTCAAGTCCTCCACGCCATCTTCTGTGACTTCAACGATGTGTAGTCGTGGTTGGTACTTGTGTAAAGACTGTAAGACGATCATCTGCAAATGGTACAGAGAAAAGAGCTGCCAAATCGAAAAAGTAAAGTCGATTTTGACAAATTCTGTATTTTGGAATGCCACTCCTGCTTGCTCCCCAGCAACAGCTAACTTTCTATTGCCATTTTTGAAACTTAAAACATAGCTGGGTATGTGTGTTTAAATAAACACTCTTGCCTCTTGGTTTCCTAAGTCGCCACAAGTTTTCAGTATTTCTGCTCCTAACAGTTAACTCACTGTTACGGAAATCCAGTAGGAAAAATAATAAATAAATAAAAATGAGAAAGGTCAAAAGAAAAAAAAAAAGACTAGAAAGAGGCAAGCAACAGGTACCTGCAAATATTACAAATACAATGAAGAGTATGGAAACTCATTAGAAAAGAGATTCACAGCCAGAAGACACCACCTCCTCTGTCACCCTACCTGGGTGTTGTTGTTATTTGCGCCTTTGTTATTGGTGAGTTTTAATTTCCCAAAGGAAATCTCCTGTCTCATCCAGTGGGAACCAGTATTAGGAGACTCTGGGTGAACATACATTTTGTTGCCTAAGAGAAAGTGAAACAAAACACAAAACCCAAGCATAAAGGGCTGTTTGCAAATGGAGGGAGGGGAGGGGTATTTACTACCTATGGGCAAGATTTAAGAGCTAGATTTAGAACATGTCTCCCATCATTAGCAGTTTAAGAAGGCCAGTGGAGACCAACTAGACTCTATTGATTCCCCTCCCAGGGCCCCTGTGCTTCCAGCCTTCCTTGGACAAGGTAAAAATGGAGCCAGTAGGCAATGCCTCTTGAAGGTTAACTTGGGGGCTTCTGAAGCTAGACAGGCAAGATCTGATGGAAGGTGGTTGGATTTTTATGGTGAACTCAACCTTGGGGAGGCCTTTTCTCAAGTGAAGATTAGAATGCCAGGAGCCCTTGCCACCTGGAGAGTTTACAGCAATTCCTTTCTCAAAGGTAGGGATGTGGAGGGAAGGGCTAGAGTAGGGTCATGGTTAAAATTCTATATACTAGTAGGCAAGAAGTCTGACTTAGCAATTCTCTCCCTTAATCAAACAATCAACACAAAGAAGCTCCTAACACTTCCAGGCCCCGGATGTGGAGGGAGGGATGTGAGATTTAAATGTGTGGTGTCCTGAGTCGGGGGCTCCCGCCGATCCACCCTGCCCAGGCCCTTTCACTCCTCACCCTGCATGTTATTGTCGGCTTTTCCGCAGGTCACCCATGGGGGCCCCCCGCCGATCCACCCTGCCCAGGCCCTTTCACTCCTCACCCTGCATGTTATTGTCGGCTTTTCCGCAGGTCACCCATTTGCCCCCCTGGAAGCGCCAGTGGTTGGGGTCCGCCAGCACCACTTCTACGAACACGTTGTAGTGGGCGGTGGGATTGAGTCCGTTTATGTTGAAACTCAAGAAAGGAAACATGCGTCTGTGCAAGGGAATAGAACCAGGAGATTTAAATCGGAACGCCTGGGCACAGGCCCACGCTTAGACGACATTTAGAAGTCTACAGACGAACAGAATACCGGTAGAAAAATGGCCCTCAGTACGTAAAATATTCTTGAGTTGGCAACTCTCGGAACATCTCTTTTCTGAAATAATTTGCCCCAATCCCCGCCCTTCTGCACCACTCACTCAAGTTCTTGACCCTTTCAGATGCTCATTTATTTTCTTCCACGATGTTTAAAAATCATTATTTTTTACATGTACAAGTGCCAGAGAACATTAAGTTGTTCTCGTAAAAAAAAAATTACTTCTACTGGTAAGGCTAAAAGTCCCCTTTGGACGTCCCTCTCCCAGCACCCACTCCTCATTTTCCCCAGAAGTAACCACTGCCCGCAGTGGGATGTGTATCCGAACTTTCTCAGGCCTGGGACCCCAGCCCTGTCTGACTCCAGGTCCGGCCTAACCTACTACCCGGACCAGCCCCCGTTGCCGGCGCTCTGGTCCTCGCGCTCGTCCCCCGGATGCTCCCCGCGGAGACCCTGGCGCCTAAAACTGCGGGAGCCCATGTCCTGTGCTCAGAGAGGGTAGCCACCCCTGGAGCCTTCCCGCATCCACGGCTCCTCGCCCGCCTTCAGGGACCGGCGTACCGCCGGCCGGGCGTACCTAGGACATCCAGCTTTGTGGACAAGCCCCAGTTTCCATTTCTGTCTCCTCGTCAGTCCAGGTGAGGGTGACGAGAAGGAAGGGGGGAAGCAGCCGTAGCCTTAGCGCCCTGCACAAACCGCCGGTGCGCGGACGGGAGGGACATCGGACTGGAGATGCGGAGTCTCCACTGGCTGCGCACGGAAACTCACTCTCCCAGCCAAGAGCGGAGCGGGCGGGCGGCGGTCCCCCATTCCCGGCCACCCTCAGGACCACAGAGGTCATCTCTACCCCCGCGCTTCGGGGGCCCTCCGCGCTGCGCTCACCTGCCCTGTTTCGTAATGATCATCTCGGTTTGGTGGCGGTGGAATTTGAGCCACAGAGGCCGGTTGCACAGGTAGACGTGGGCGCGGAAGCCGGGGCCGGGAACCCCCAGGCCCCCGAGTCCTCCGCAGGAACCCGCGGCTGCTGCCCCGGAGTACGGCCCGTAGAGCGGAGCCCCCTGGCCGTACTGATAGGCGCCCGGGCCGCTTCCCCCGCCGCTGCCTCCCGCGCCGCCGCTCGCGCCTGCTCCCGGGCCGAACTGCGCCCTGCCGGGTGGGCACACGGCCGCGGGGAAGCCGCCGGGGGGCAGCATGGAGCCGTAGGGGTAGCGCGCCCCGTTGGGAGCTGGGTACACAGATCCGTGGGGCGCCCCGGCAGCCGCCTGGTACGGGAACAGCGAGCAGGGCGCGGCCAGCTCGGAGCTCTGAGGCCCGGGGGACTGGAGGTAGTAGCGCTCCGAGCTCAGGCTGTCCATGGAGTAGCGCGCGCTGGCGGCGGCGGCTGAGGGCAGCTCCTCCTCCCCGCAGGGGGAGCCCTTGCGGCCGTCCGGGGGCCCCGGCTTGGCCACGGCCGCGGTGCCGGCAAAGGCGTCCCCGGCGTCGGCGTCACTGAGCATGGCCGCGGGGGCCCCGGAATTGGCGGCTGAGGGCTCCCCGCTCCCTGCCTCACACGAGAGGCTGCCCGAGAACTTCTTGGGCGCTTTGTCTAAGTCCAGCCTCTGAGGCGAGGGGGCCGCTCCCGGGAGGCGGCCGGCGCTCCCGCCGCCACCGCCTCGCGCCCCTTCCAGTGGGTAGAAGTGCGCGCCAGGCAGGTTCACCGAGCTCACCAAGAGCTGCTCCCCTAACTGCATGCTTTGCAGAGCGCAGACGGCAGCTGGCTGCTTCCTCTCCGGCCGCGACCTGATTATAAAGGCAGGATGAGGGAGCCAGCGCCCTCTTCCGAGGGGAAGGTAACTTCCCCTTCCTCCTGTGCCGGGTTACCCACCTGGCGACACGCGGACCGCTAAGGAGCGCACTCGCGCGTCCCGAACCTAGCGCCCTCTCCACAAGGAATTTGAAGGCAGGAGGCGAAAACTGACCGAGAAGCCCTCTCCTTTTCCTTCCGCGTCCCTTTTGCCTCTCTGCACCTCCACCCTCCTCCCCCGCACACACGGGAAGAAGAGGTCTCAGCTCTCTCTCCCCATCCACCCACCAGCGCTAGCCTTTCTGCCTTTCTCGACTGAAAAACTATCGGTCAAGTTGACCACTTGGAAAGTTGCAGGTTCTCATTGGCTGCTTTATATATGTGAGGCCAGGGAGGGGCTTCGCGGCCCCACAGCCTCGGGACCCTCCTATTGGCTGGTGGAGGTGACAGTAATTCAATTAGGCATTTACTAATTGGATCAAGTAGCCTGCGACTTTCTTTTCCTTTAGCTTGATTTTCTTTCTTTTTCTTTCTTTCTTTTTTTTTTGAGACTCAGTCCTGCTATGAGAATCAATCCTGGTGTCTGTATTTCGCTGGAATTTAGTGGAACAGGGTTTGAGGTCTCCGTAGCAGGGTCATCACAGCGCTCTGAGCCGGGGGATGCGGGGGCGGGAGCAGGTTCTAGAGGCCGGAGGTAGAAATGTTCTGCAAGCTGACGGCCTGCAGGGAGGCACCGGTCTCTGAGGGTGGGGATCTGGGACGAGCTGGAGAGAGGCCCAAGGAAGTCTCTTCCCTCGTCGGGGGCTGTAACTTCAGGCACACTTTCTTCCCGATTGGAGAGGACTCTCTGGCCTTCAACAAGCAGGAACCACTTTTTGTTCGGCCCCACCCTTTTACTCAGTGGGAAGTGTTTGTGGAGAGGAACCCGGCGTTGGGCTTTTGGGATTCCAGGGATGGTGAGAGCACACTGCAGTCCTTGAGGACGGAAGCTGTCAGGTTATGAATCAGAAGCCCCGGTGGGGTGGGATACTAGGAACACTCTCATCCCCACGCCATCACGCCTGCTTTCTGGAGGCAATCACTTTTACTCCCCACAATTTAAAATCCACGCTGTTTCCCTAAATCTCGGATCCCACACCCTCCCATCTTCAGTTGGGCCTGACACCGAGAAACAAAGCAGCCTCGCGGTTAAGATTCCCTGCACCTCTCCTCTGCAGCGCAACACAGAAGGTGGAATAATTAGTGAAATAATCAGTTTGATATGGAATTAAGCCCTTTTGCCCCAGCTGCCTGTTTCTCCACTGTGTCTTTGCAGACAGCAGAGCAAGATGATGCCGTCCTATTGTATTGTTTATTAATACCCGCACGTTTCGTTGCAGGTAAGGAGAAGCCTGAACATTTGCTGTTAATAAGCAATTACAGACGCGGCTTGTAATCGCTCCGGGAACGCGTTTTCCGGCTGAGAGGTCGGGACTCTGCTTCCCCAACCGAACGCGATCACACGGGAAACTCTTCACCCGCAACACGAGGCGGTCGCGGGATTCGTTGAGCGCGCACACGCCGGTGCAGAACAGCTCGAAGCTTTCCAACCTAGGTTCAAACCACAGCAGCATCGATACTGGCACGTCTGAGTTAGAGAGTGAAGCGGCTCTTAACGCACTCGGACGCGGTTACCAGGTCTTCGCGGTAGTGGAAACAGGGAGCGCGCGAAGGTTTTCAGGGTCAAGGCCCAGCCAGGGACGGGGAGAGAGCAAGTTAGGCGAGAGGCCCGGGTGGGGGCCTCGCAGGTCCAGGCACAGAAGCCCAGGAGCAGATTCCTGGAACGCTGGCACGGAGCGCGCTCAGCCTAGCACTTCTCCCGTGTCGTCCCGCCAGTTTAGTTCGGGTTCGGCTTGGCTCTCTGCTCTGATCACCCCACCGTCCACTCCCACCTCGTCGGCTTTAGATTTCTTTTGACTCAGGGAAGTCTTGGAGAATTGCATTTTTCAAGTACTCTGTGCTTTTCAAGACTTCAAGATATTCAACGTGGAGGTTCTGTGAGCGGGACTCACAAGATCAAGAGCAAGGAAAGAAAGGGCAGCTTGGCGGGGGAGCCCGGGCTAGGGGATCTTGTTACCACTCAGGGCTCTTCCACATTAGCCTTGACCTGAGCTGCAGGATGTTTGAGGAAAAAGTAGGGAGGAGATTAGATCTCACGTTTTTGGAGACAGAGTGGCTGGGGTTAGATCGCAGTTTTGCGCCTGACCTCAGCGAGACAGCGGGCCTCGGTGTCCCGAATTGCTTTCGAGGAGGCCAGGGAAGCTCTGCGCGTGGCAAAGCGCCACTGCAGGCAACAGGCAGCGCTCCGACCCACTCTGGCGCAAATAACGCGAGCCAGCTGTCCCCCGCGCCACATCAGAAAGGCTTGATTTTATTCCAGCCACAGAGCAAGCTCTTGAAAACGCGTGGGTTCATTTGAGTGCTACCTAATTATGAAATATATACACGGTATGTGTAATTAGGATTAGTGTTGATTCTTGAGGCAGGAAATTGCAGTTTATATCTCCCCACCTCCCCAATATAGCTATCCTTTTGCCCAAACTTGAACACATTTTACAGGCGGAGAAACAAAGAGAAGTTCAAAGAGAATAAAAATTCGGGCTCTACAAAACCGCTCTGGGGCCCAGATTTTTGGAACATGGAAAATATACCCATAATTTATATTACATTTATAGATATATATTACAAATTCCTTTTGAACATAATGAAAAGCACTGTTTCAACTAAAGATGATTTTTTTCTGACTGCGTAGAGATAAAGAAATCTCCTTTAATGGTTCTTCTGTATTAATTACAGTATTATTACATATGGAATATATTAGTCTAAATGCCTGGAGAGTTATAGATGAGCAAATCTGTGACTGATTTCCTACTTGAAATGGGCTTTCCTTTTGCTGGCTCAGTTTTACTAACCAGGGAAAGAGATAAAGAAATCTCCTTTAATGGTTCTTCTGTATTAATTACAGTATTATTACATATGGAATATATTAGTCTAAATGCCTGGAGAGTTATAGATGAGCAAATCTGTGACTGATTTCCTACTTGAAATGGGCTTTCCTTTTGCTGGCTCAGTTTTACTGATAACCAGGGAAAGAGGCATAAAAATTATTTTCGCACGTCCTAGTCTCACTTTAAAATGTAATCACTCTTTTCCAGAAACAGGAACATGAAAGAAAGCTAAAGCAGTGGCTTCAGTGAACAAATCAGGCAGCACCCTCCTTAGATTGGGTGGGCAAATAGCACAGCCTTGCAGCCTGTTTCCAGTTTGATTTCAATTACACCCCAAGCTTCATGAAATCCAAATGAGACATTTATTGAAAGGTGGCTGGTTTTATGTGGCTCAACTGACAGTGTATGAACAAAAACATCAACACTAGGGAGGAAACGTGGAGAACCCTTGGAACCCCAGACCCAAGTGCTGGCTGGATTAACTCAAATCTTGCACCTTTCAGCCTGAGACTGGAGGGAGCAGGACCCTTTGAAAGCTACAAGGAAGCCAAGGTTATGCCTGTGTGTGAGCCTTAAAGGTCTTATGCTGTATTGTCTTGAGCAATAATACCAGCTTCATGCTACTGTCTTAAACTGATAACACAAAGTTATTGCCAACCTGGCCAGAGCACCTCTTCACCCCTTTCTCCCCATTAAAGGTAACCAATATCAGTGCATTCAGCTTTTTAAGGCAAAACTGAAAAGCATTTGGCTGTAAGACGGTATTACATAACAGATACATACAAACGTATGAATAAATTACAGGGGTGAGTTATAAATGAGTGCAGTGAGAAACGGTTTACCTCCCCTCCCCGCCACAACCAAGGGGGCCCATATAAATGTCCCACTAAATTCTATTATTTTCACCCCCACTAAAAATGTGTTATCAAAACACTGTCCGTGTTATTCAAACACTTTGTAAATTCTGAGCAGACTTGCTGCCGGTTCTCCTTTTAACCCTAGGAAAACATTCCAACATTAACCGGTCACCAGCGCTTCGCCTGGACTCTGGGCAAACGTCAATGGGTTTTTTGTGGTGAGTTGGTCCTTTTACTATTTATCTATGGCCTTTTCTTTGTTGATGTTACATTTTATTTCGCCATCGCGGGTTCACTCTTTGGCCCTTTGTTCTCTGATGGCCAGATTCCCACCTCCACTAGGCTTTCTGAAGGGGGAGGGGGCTTCCATCACGGTAAGGCTGTTCATGTTCAGATTTTTTTTTTTAAGAAAATGTCCCTGTGAGATAACATCTTTTAAGAAAATGTCCATTGGCAAGGACAAGTAGTGTTGATTTTGCTGAGAACAGCAAGATAGTCCCACCAACAGTTTCACTTTTTATAAGAATTTGAAATCACCGTGACCCTGAAATAGACTGATCATTTGCTTTAAAAGAAATCCACAAATGTGTCCACAAATGAGTGAGGCAAAGGGTTATATTAAACCCACTGTATTTTTCAAACAAAATGACCAATTTAAACTATTATCTTCAGCTATCAATCTATGTATTTTGATTGCTAAGTGCAGGTGTAGTTCACTGTTAAAATATGAGGAGGTGGGGGTTGGGGAATGAAAATTAATAAACATACCAAAAGTTGCTTATTACAAAAAATAAGTGATCTTAAACATTGGATCAAGAATCTTCTTTGTGAAAGTATTTTTTAAACTGCAAATGAATTCCTGGATTTAACTGCTGTTCTATCATCATCATCATCAACATCATATTTATGGAAGTTACAGATCCACATAAAGTAACAAGAAAGGCTGCATGAGGCAAAATAAAGTGAAATACTCTCAAAAATAAAGTAGGGGAATGTTTGGCTAATCATTGCTACACTAAAATATGAGTTATATAGGGCTTTCCCTGTCTTGCTTACTTTCGCACCTCAAAAGGCCTGACTCTTAGTAGGTGCTCATCTCTTAATTGAAAGAAAGGGTTTACTAAATCTGCAGACTAGAACAGACAAAATAGCCCAAGGACCGTGTCAGGGCTCAGGCTTTATAACCATGGAGATGAAAGTGAAAGGTTTTTTTTTCTAAAAGAAAAAGAAAACACAGATCTTCCTAAACTAATGGACCCGGCATTTTCACCTTTTTTAGATTCTTAAAAGATCTTTTAAATATTTTTCTTTAGACCTTTCTTAATCCAGAGCTCTTATATTATTGCAAGGCTTTCTGTATGCATGTTAATGTGGACATTCCTCCACAGGAAAACAGAAAAGTGAATGCCAGAATTGCAGGACAGCTGTTGATGGGAACAACCACCATGTCGCCACTGAGAAATATTATCCTGAAATCACTTTCACATCACTAACAGGGTCAGCAGAATC